CCATACGTAGCCCTCGTTATCATCAGAGCTGCTCCGTCACATACTTAACCTTTCCAGACCAGCCTTTCTGCATTATTTTCCAAATGACCTTTAGCGTTACTTATTTCATTTCCGATAATGGCGCACTAAATTTCGTTAAATGCATTAGAGCCGAATGTGTTTATTTTGGTGAAGGGGGTCCGTGCTGACTGACAAGGACCATGTTCCCAGACTCCAGCTCGGAGGCAGTAAACATTAATATGTCTTCCTGATGGGAATACGGACTGGGCGCTGTGTCAGATGAGCAGGAATGATGAGAGATAGATCAAGTAACCCGAGAGGGGATGTATAATGAAACCTTATAGACATTCTGGGATCCAGTGGAGGACGCAGCTCAAAGGTCAAAATCAGTTCACCAACTTTTTTTGAAGTATTTTCAAAACAGAAAGGGGATTATAGGCCATTATGGAGACATATTATGCCCTTTTCACACATTTACTCGACTTCCTGATGTCCTTAATAAAAATGTCAGCGCTTTGGTTAAAATACTACAGGTAAACAGAGCAAAAGCTCCATTTTACACCATGATTTTCCACCTCTACTCACACTGACCTGTTTTAGAGCACGGGGAGACGCACACAAATCCATCCGTCTTTTCTGCCTCCTCTGAGACTGTACAGCTCACCCTCAGAGTACATTACTACAGTAAGACGGAGCATACAGCAAATAGCTCCAGCGCCAACACAAACAGAGAGCCCAGCTCAGACTGGTTCACAACAAATTGATTAAAAAAAAAGAAACAAAAAAAACGTAATCTCCAATTTTTTCCTCAAATGATTGCATTTCCCCTCGTCTGCACTTCAGCCTCGGACAGCTGGAACTGATCAGGCTTTTAGGCCCAAAGGCTCAAAGTCAAACGCTGAACTGGTCCAGGTTGTAAAAAAGGCACAACACACAACACGACAGCTGGCTGAGAGGTTTATATTCCACTCAAAACTCAAGAAGGAACTCCTGTTTCACATAGCTGCTCAATAAATTTTGTCTTGTTTGTTTTTGCTGTAACAGATTCATGTTAAGAGCAGTTGTTTATATGAGCTGCTGTTCAATAAAGTTGACAGGATTTTGTTGGTAATGGCAGGGCTGCTCGTGGTGCATTCAATGTCAAGAGATAAATTTGATTTTTTTTCCAACATTGTAGTGTAGGAGATATTGTAAATGATTATTATTATCTCCTTTCTCTCTTTACTAAACAAAAGAGCAGTTGATGAGAATTTGTCATTAATGGTAAAGCAACAGATAGAGGACGGCACCAAAAAATACTTCCAAAGTACAGCAAACGCACAAGGATTTTAACAAGAATACAAATGGGGATGCCTGGCTTTCTGCTTCGTGTTTCCGATAGCACGGCTATCCCTGAGCCGAGGTTTATCACAACGCACCGTCCCTCAGCAGCCCGCAAGGAGCCGTTTGTTTCCCGGCTCTGCTGCTTGAGCGGAGGGGGGTGGGGTGAAGGGATCTTAGCAAAATCGCTAATGTACATGATGATTAAGTGTAACTCAAATACCGAGTGTGTTGTTCATGGGCTTGACAGGCAGTAATTTGGTGTATTATATTCTGCGGTTTTAATTGCACGCCACCAACGTGTCCCTCTGACACGTTATGAAGCGATGATGTACAATTATTTCGGGCGGCGGGAGATCAGTGGAGTGACATTATAATCATCCTCATAGGGATCCCTCTCTTCATCTGCAACAACTATTAATGTTTAAATGAGGAGAGGGGAAGAAGAAAAAAAAAACATAAAAATAGTTCTCAGGGAGTTCTAACCAGAATCTGTTTGAGGATTATGGAGAATCACATCAGGGGAGAAGGAGAGGGGTGTGGATAGACAATAGAGGGGCTGAGTTAAGTGACGGCTTTCTCTGGATAAGCAGCGAGCTAAGATGCTCCTCCACTGTCACTGCCAGGCCTCACGCTACTCATACAGGCCCGGGCATTAAGGCACATTACAGCGGATGAGCCATGCAGGGTGGAACTGATGGGCTATTCTGGGAACAGGCCAGACAATCTCACAAGAGTGGGGGGGGGGCTTATAAACCCTGACATGAGCCAACCTCATCCTGTTAACAGTCAAATCACACACGAAATACCCAACATGAACTCATAACAATGTATTTATATGTGTGTGTGTGTACACACACACGCGCACACACACAGATACATACATTTATATGTAGTCTTTCTCACACCGAGTCAAGAGAGCTAGAAGATAAGGAGGGGAAAAACAACACGCAGCCTCCTCGAGGAAAAAAAAAAGAAAAAACTCATTTTAAAAAGCAAAAACTTCAGGCTTTTGCAAACTTTGTTGAAAACCTTTGTTTAAATTTCTCAAGTGACACTTGGAAAGGGGCAGCTCGTGACCCATAATCATAAACAGCAGTTCGCAAGAGAACAATCCGCGTCCACGATGGGGTTGAGATTTCCGAGGCCAAAGCCCAGATATTAAACCAATGCCTCAAAGCATTTAGACCGTTTATCCATAATTTAACACCTACAACAGCACTGGATGTCCATTGCATCTTTGGGGAGGACAGGCGAGCGGGAGGCTGGAAATGCTGAATCCACTTCCTTTCGGCGAGATGATGGAGGAGAGGAAGAGGAGGCTCATTAAGTAGCCAAGCCCCAGTGTGGACAAAACACACCAGGAGGAAATACAAGAATCCTGCCATCTATTTTTTTTCTCACCAATTAAATATGAGAAATCTTATCTTGCATGCTAACAGCCAATTTGTGTTTTTCTGCTGTTTTTACACTTCAAGAGTTCTTCATAGGCAAATTAAGACAAATAAGTCTGTTCTCGCAAGAAGGCGGAAAAGATGAGCAGATAGATAAGTGGGCCCGCGGACAAAGAGATGTGGAAACACTGAAGGGAAAGGTGAGACAGAAAGTAAAGTGGGGGAAGAGGAGAGGAAGGATATTGACCAACGCATTCGGGTTTGACTGGCAGCATGGTCAGGGGTTCCAATCTGTCCTGGCCTTGCATTTGCATTTGTTAATTAAATGCCAAAACAATATGATCTCTAACTATCAACAACTTCCCCTCAGGACGCGTGGCTCCTGGAGACGGAGGGCAGCGGCGGTGAGCCGAAGCCAAAGTGAGGTGGACAGCCGAGGCGCAGCAGGCCCATTCCCTCACAGAGTCAGAGGTGAGGTTATCTCCCAGTCTGAGCGTTTAACAGGGAAGACACGGCAATCAATAGCACTGAGGAGTGATCTGTTTTCTTTGGTTTAGGGTCTTTTTTTGTGAAAGGCAACGAGCACAAACAACAGCCTCGATTAATAAAAGCAAGATGCTGTATTGTGATACAAAAAAAAAAAGAAAATAAAAAGAAAGCAGGACCCAAACACTGTTGGTTTAATTGACATGATAGAGTGTGATTACACATAAAAATCCCCCAAAACATCATTTTGTTGAAGTAAAACGCGGCCCCGTCATTAGCATCAACGGGGAGAATGCAGAGCGTAATTGCACTATAATCTCACTTTTCTAGGTCAGCCCAAAACAAAACGGGTAATAACATTACACATTATACCTGAAGCGTGGCCATCCATTAGTAACGTGCCTTAGATTCAGATAAAGGACACATCAAACGGGAAAAGTTTGGGGAAGGGGGAGCGGCTTATGTGTATGTATGGCTCTGGCCTTAATGAGGGTCTTTCTGGGGGTTTCTTTGTGTTTGCTGCTCTTTAGTCAAGAGGAGGGATGGCCCGGTAATCACTCAGTCCTGAAAGCGCACACAGGGCCGATTTGTCAGCGGTGGCTGGCACTGGCAGCACGCGGCCGCTGCACCCGCATGATTTGTGAAACCGGGGGCTGTATTTAGTAGTCCCATTTAAAAGCATATTGGAGAACTGCTCCAAATGCATGTCTGTGAGTGTTTGTGGTGGTGGTAGCGGAGGGGGGGGTGAAGTGTACGAAAGTAAAGCCATGCTCTCAGTAAAAGCCCAACGTATCTGCAGGAGCCTGGAGGTTTGAGCTGGGGAGTGGGGGGGGGGGGCCCGGGGGGGGGGGTGTTGTGAAACATGAACTTCTCGTTAAAGAGGAAGCCCCGTTTAAGGCTAAGCTTGTTTGCTCCCTCTGTAGCATCAGTGGGAAGAACGAGGTCTGCCTGACTGAGGTGCTGGACATTTTCCGCAGAAAGGGGGGACCTCATGACTTTTAGGTAAGTCTTTGTTGAAAAGGAACGAGGGGATCCGCACCTGCAGACGCCCAAAAACACTGAAACTCCTCTGATTCCCCGCCTGCATGTCGAACAGCTTTGCGCGTTTGTTTGAACAGGGCTCGACAGCGAGGAGCTCTATCACGGGAACGAGAAGAGCCGAGCACAACATATGGTCAACATGTAGGGGGTACAGGGGGGTGCGATAACTGTACTCTGGCACTACTGGGTATTTATAGCCTGATGGTTAGCTGCATAAACTTCCAATTAGGACTGTTTGAACAGCTGAAGATAAAAATGTTAAAAAAAGCTACATAATTTCCTTCAGCTTACATCTTGAGACCAGCCGATGGACGGAAACGCTTTTTTTTAAAGGGAAAAACAACGTTTAAACCATGAATGAATTTTCGAACTGCTGCTTCTTTCTCTAAACCATAAAACTCCTTAAAATCAAACAGATTGTTTTACTGTCTCTGTAAACATGATGTAACAAAAGCCCTGGATTTTCTTCTGGTTTAGAAAAACAGCTGTCCAGGCCCACATACTGAAATTATTTTAAGAAATTAATTTCAGTGATTTCTTTTCCCTTTTTTTTTATACTTGAAAATGGCCGGCAGAAGGCCTGTCCCACATCCCTTTATGTGGTCAGTCAGGGTTCAACTGCCTTGGATTTTGAATTAGCCTGTGACTAATGAAATTTGACATGGGCCATACAGCGGATAATTAGCAGATCGCTATTGAAGGGAGGAGCACTGCCCATCACTGCAGGGCGTGCTTTTCGATTTCAAGTCTTTACCCGAACTATAGGAGCCGCTCTGGAAACTGCTCCTCCAAGTCGTCTCGACTGGTAATCTGAAAACCTGCTTGCCGAAAACTTATCTGGCTGAGTCTACCGACCCCCTTTTTTTTTTTTTTGGAAAGGGCACAAAGCAATAGAGATTGTTTTTGTGTCCAGGCGTATTTCCAGAGAAAGACTCGGACGCTGGTCACTCACCCGCAAATGTCGCACTTGTACTCCCGCATGCCCAGGTGCCTCTTCACGTGGTTCCTGGCGTCTCCCAGCTGGGCGGTTGCAAAGTTGCAGATCTTGCACATGAAGGGCTTCGATCCTGCAAAACCAAGCAAACGCAAGGATCTCATATGAAACAGAGAGATGCGGCCATTTCACGAAAACACACCTGTTACATCTCATTCAAGCACGTCTGACATTTCAGTGCCGGGACTAAAAGATTCTTCTTCATCCAACGTTGAACAGATGCCCCCTTCAGTTCCCATAAAAACTACACTCGCACTTCAAGTGTGAAGCGGCTCTCCTTTCACTCTATCCATCCTTGTCACTCTCCTTCATCTCTTACCTACTCTTGCTTTGCCTGTGGATGCGTAAATTGGATTCCAAAGGTCAGGGCGAATACGTAAATCAATTCTGTGTGCGCTCACTACCTCCCATTCCATCATTAAAGCACTAATCACTCTGGCGGGCTTCACGGGGAGGTTTCTTCCTAATTATTGTCATTAATAAGTCCAGAGGGCGGGGTAGCATTTGAGAGAGTGGCACAGCCTCTCTTTGCTATCCATCATGTGGGAGCCGAGCGGTGAGGGCGGAGGCCTGAACTATCTGCGTGATGCATGAACAGCCAGCAGCTCCGGTTAGTGGGGGAACTGTGTGATCCAAAATATAAAGCCAAAGATGGATAATAGCAGTTACAGTACACAACGGAGGCGAGTAAGCTCCCTATAATATCACTTTTATGGCAAATGAGTTCGACTATCACTTTATTCTATCTGCATCCCTCCACTGGAGTAACAGTTAGGATTTGTGGGGTTACAAGTACAATTCCAACCGGAGGACGCCTTCAATGAGACCCAGCTGTGTTATGTATACACTTTCTCTGTAGAGTACCGAGCCATCGTTAAAACAATGTATTTTCAGAGAAGGAAAATTAAGTGTTTGTAAACAGAAACAAGTCATTAAGACAAATTAGTAACAGGTCAGTAATGTTCAGAGGTACAAAAAAGAGCACCTATGGGAGGTTTAGCCTGATGGGTGGAAGTTCAGCACAACAAGAAAACAACTCGTTTGAGAATAACCCACCAAGACTTAATAGAGATTCAATAACACAGAAGGATGTGAATACAAGAACGTGGAGGCATATCTGTGACAGAAGAGCAAGGCCAAACAATGTCTGCTGCAGGGTTGTTGGGCAGCTCTGACATCTTGTTCCCAGACACTCACAGACAGCTGTTCAAAGACGGGTGGGTGTGTACGTGTTGCTGCCGGAGAATTCAAGGTGAGACAATATTTTTAGTGAAAAAACGAGACATTTTTGCTCTCTCTACTTAAATTTTTTTATCTTCTGCTGCAAGTAACACTTCTAACTACTAACTTCTTTTAGAACTGGGGTTGCACGCACATGTTAAAGACAGGCGGGGGGGGAGGGGGGGCATTCTTCTCCCCAGTTGCATTTATCCAGTTGGTAAAGTAAAATGAATGTTTTGTCAGCAGGCGGGGGCAAAATTAAGCCGGCATGACAGTGCGACACTGGTCTAAGTGGCAGCCTGGTATGATATCTGCGTACGCATCTCTGAGCAGACCCTCACGCTATCCCAGTGAATACCCCAAGACGTTCTACAATATTTATTCCAGGGGCAGCTGCTGATTTGATTAAACACTTTGTGTAGATTACTAATTCGTTCATGCACGGTTCACTTGCTGTGAGCTGGAAGTACGACACATCGAATTTTACGCCGGTAACGAAGATTGAAAGGCAAGCCAGTGCTAACAAGGCCCATAAACACAAGGGACGGGGGGGGGTGAGAGGGAGGGGGTCTACACATGGGCAACTGCAAAGCCAGCCTCCTCATTTCACTTGTCCCTACTGTACACTAAAACACACACACACACACACAAACAAACACACACATCCGTGTAAAGAGGCTAAGGGATAAATGTAAGAGCGAAGGTGGGGGGGGGGGGGGGGGGTGCCGGCATCATAAATCGCTAAAAGTAACCACACTTTTCACACCTGAATGTGGAGAAATCGCACACTAAAATCATCAACACCCGATGAAAACAAAAAGACAATCGAACGCGGTGTCACACCACACCCACCATCACACCTACATGGAGACTCGGGGCCCCACCTCGCAGCCCCGCATGTGCACGCAGACACGTTCTATTCCCAAAACATAATCACCCATGGAAAAACAGAAGGAGAGACAATCATCCTCTCTCACACTCACACACACACACACACACACACACAAGTTAAAGTTGAGAAGAGGGAGAGGCGTGCGGGGAGCCGATTTGTCCAGATGGCTGGCTGAGTATGAAACATGGCAGAGAGGAGAGCGATGTAACGTCCCTCCGTTCTCACATCTTATCACATTAATACTCCACCACTCCACTTAAACTGCCTCCCTGAAACTGAAATTGACCATCAATGCGGTGTCATGTTAAATTAATATTGCCATCCACATAGGGGCGATGTGGCTCCCTTACATCCCAGATGAGACGGGGAATGACTAATTCATTTCCTGAGAGGAGAGATGAACCTCATGCAACGTTTCACAACACACACACACACACACAACGTGATGTCTTAAGTCTTGCACATGTCACACACTCCTACTACTCCCCAGGAAAAGAAAATACATTTATCCTTGAAGGCGTTAGGTGTGAGGCATCTTAGTTGACGTGTGTTTTAATCTTTAGCCTTGTTTTCATTGATTTCAGCCCAAGTATAGATCAAGTTTTCTGCAAAACGGGTGAATTAAGGCACCAGTGACACAGTGGCGGGTGGTAAGAGGGGCGGGGGGGGGCCGGATGCATTAAACATGATCTTTCATGGGAAGGTTTCACCTGTTCCCGTTGGCACCAAGTGTGAAAGGTGCACTGTAATAGAATGCTAGCAGGAGTAAAAGGCGAGGAAAGTTTGATAGCACCTGTGAAAGCTCTTGTGTACAGGAACTCATTTCTGAAAACATGTTGCAGTATTTTCTTCTTTCTAAGCAGATTGGGGCACCTGAATGGTATTTTTTTCTTAACACCAAATGGCACAATAAAAAAAAAGCAACTGATTGTTTAAACCAGTCTGACGCAGTCTGAACCAAGAACGGGTTACCGTCCCTTCAATGCTCCCACAGACTGGTCTGGAGAAAAAGTGACCAATCTACCTTAGGATGCAAATTCCAGCTGCCTCCTCATTGACATAATGCAAGCATGAGAATGCGTGTCCTATAAGGAACAAATTGACAAATCTGTGTGTAGCCTCCCACTACATCCCCTGATTTCCCTGATTAATCAAGTGAATGAAAACTGGGTCTTAATTAAAAGGATGTGGGTATGCTCGCAGCTTACAAACGGGCAGACCCCCGCCGCGCTGCTCCAAGGCCCTGCAAACAAACTCTCAGAATGAATTACCGCAATATGAAAGGTAAATAATTCAACGTAATGAGGGAACGAAGCCATAATAACGACTGGCACATGTCGCGCTGATGAGAAATGAGGGCTGTCGGCGTATTTAACAAACAAGAACACACACCAAAGCAAAAAGAAAATCTAAACGAATAAATAAAATAAGAAGTTTGCCATTTCAAACCTCAGATTGTGCCCTTGACTTGATGGCAGGAGGAGAGGCCTCAGTGTCAGTGCTTTCATTTTCTTAAGTAACACAAGGAAAGTGACCTCAAAACTCCAGAATTATGACAGGCTAAAATTATGAACGCGCACAGACAGAACATTAATAAGGGGAGAGCGGGCCGACGCATTAATCTTTGAGATTTTTAACCTCCAATTCTTACGGCTCTAAACTATTTGAGTTTCGCTGTGAGAAATCTGACTTTGGCACGCAAAGTGACAGGTATACATGCCAGAGCATAAAGTAGGAGGGGGGAAAAAAAATTGATAAACTGTAAAAATCCAGTGCTGTACTTCCACTAAGTGAACAGCATGTCAGCATATTTCACCGCGGCGTAATTTCTACCTCTCTTCTCCGAAATTAATGTATGGGCATATGGCGGCGTAATGTGCAAAAATCAGCCCGTGCTCAGTTCCACGCTGCTAGGGGAGGACACGCTCCGGGTTTCCTGGGGAGGGTCACATAGCAACACCAGGGTACTCAGTCAGAGGGTCCGCCGTCTCACAGTGGTAACCTTCCAACTCCATAGCGCATTAAAAGGACGCTCCTCACACGCGGACACAAACAATTGCATAGTAAGTACAGAGCGTGGACTCCAATTAAAGTCCCATTAAAGTTTAGGCTGAAAGGGGGATGGACCAAAGGAGGCGGTGTGGGGCATTTATTGATGGCGCCCTCACATCTCGTTCCTGCATTAAGTTGATTTTAAAAGCAATTAATACACACGGTCAGGGAAAAGTAATGGAGCGCCCCGTGTTCTTAACCTGCCGGACATTTCCCAGCCGAAGCCCTGACCAGCGCAGCCCTGCTTTGCATTATAAATGACAAGATAAATCCTAATGGATTGAGGATAATCAGCTAGCCATGAAGGCTGACATGTACACACATTCACTTTGGTTTACCAGCGCTCACACACACACACGTATGCACAAACATGGACATACAGACACAAGGGAAATTAAAGGCTTTGAATACGTCTGCATTGATTATTTTAAATTATTAGCCCACCTCTCTTTGGACCTCCAATGCTTTTAGTCTAAGCTTTAACACATTTACAGAGACTTATTGACTATAATTACAACTGAGTCTTGGTAATGGACACATCAATTATGAGTCGCACATGTCTCTGACCAAGCGTTGCTTAGGAAATCCCAATCTGGGGTCCATTAGCGTCTCTCCTGCTAGTCTGAAGCTCAATCAGTCTTTACCTTCACCTCTACTAAAAGAGCTATTACCTGGCTGAGGTAGATAGTAGCCTCAACATTTGCCTGAGCTGCAGAAGAAGGGACCCTGTCTCTCCATTTAATACTGCTGCACCCTAAAAACAAAGACCTAATAGCCCAGCATCCACACAAAGAGATCACTCCTCACCATTTTGAAAGAAGAACCGTTTTTCGAATTTCCCAGCAAAAAAAAAAGGAGGATATCTGTTTCTGTGTGGGGTTTCAGCACACTCCTGCTGTTCTGTTGTGGTTCATTTGTCAATTTGGTCTAAAAGTAATCCTGCATACTGTTAGAAATATGCATACAAGATGCAGAAGGTATCGGGGGGGCCCAGAGAGGGAGTGGGTAAAGGGTCAGGGTCAGGGTCACCTACCCGTGTGGGTGCGGATGTGTGCCAGGAAGGCCATGGAGTTGCTGCTCTTGCACACCTTTCCGCAGTACTTGCACACGCTCCCCTGGTTCTCCTCGCGCTCGCGGTTGATCTGCTCCGTGTCCTCCAGGACGTACTTGTTGACCTCCCGCAGGAGCTCCTCGTGCTTCTCCTTGATGTGGAAGAACAGGTCCTGCTCGGACTCGAAGCGGTCGGTGCACTTCACGCACTTGAAGCTGGCGCCGCCCTCGGGCAGCTCCTCCACGCTGTTCTGCTCGTTGCGCAGGTGGGCGGCGCTGGTCAGGTGCTGGTGCAGGTTGCTCTCGGTGTAGAAGGACTTGCCGCACACCAGGCAGTGGAAGTGCCTCTCTTTGGACGGGTGCTTCATGGAGATGTGGACGTTGAGGCCGCTGATTCCGTCCGCCATGAAGCCACAGTCCTCGCAGCGGATGCGGGAGCTGCCCCCTCTGGCCTCCTCCCTCGTCTTCGCCTCCTTGGACTTGAGCTTTCGGACATAAGCAGAACTGGGGGAGGGGAGCCCGGAGGCCGCCCCGCCGGTCAGACACACCGCAGAGGGCTCACCTTCCAGCGAGTGCTCCTGCTCGGCGAGGGCCTTCACGGACACGATGGAGGCATCGAAGGGAGGAGCTTTGGACATTTGAGTATCCACAATCGTCACGTTTTCCTTCAAGCCCTCGTCCTCCGTCTGTTTGTCCTTTTCCTCCGCGGGCTCTTCCAAAACCTGCTGGGGTTCTAGCGGAGCCGCCGGCTCCAATGCCTGGTCGGTCGGACCCGGTTCGGCATCAGCAGAGGATGTAATGGTCTCTGCTTGCTTTTCATCTTCACCTCCTGCCTCAGCGGCCACAGCCTCTGAGGTGCTGGACGCCGGTGGGCTCTGGACCTCCGCGTCCTGACTGTCAGAGGACCCCGGCGCCTCTGGGGGGTCGGGGCGTTCGCTGTCAGGGCTGGGACTTTCGTCTATCTTGGGCTTTGCTGGGATCTCTGGAGCCTTTTGGCCCTCGCCCCCTTGCAGTGCCAGGTACCTCTGGCTTTTCTGCTTGTGCTTGTCCGTGCTGGCGTGCCGGTACATTTCCCTGCTGGTGACGGCGTAGTAGCCACACGCCAGGCAGACGAACTCGAAATCTTTGGTGTGCTTTCTCTTGACGTGAAGGTGCAGCGAGGGGATGGACTGGGCCACGAAATCGCAGAGGCTGCACGCATTGACCGAGTCGTACTTCCCTTTGGGCTCGCCGGCATCCGGCTGCGTCTGCTCCTCCGCTTTGTCGGGCTCCTCTGTTGGCGTGGAGGCGCTGGTGCTGGAGGCAGGCGTGCTGGTGGACTCGGGCATGGATGCGCTGGTGTGACCCGTGGCGGGGTTCTTACTCGGGCCCTCCTGCACTCGCTTCACGTGCTTCTTGGTGAAGCAGTGGCGGTCCATGTCCCCTTTGGTCACACAGTTGTAATTGCACAGCGTGCAGCTGTAGCCGTAGTCTTTGCTGTGTTTGCGGCGGACGTGAACGCTGAGGTTGGTCGCGTTGGACACCACCAGGCCACAGTATCCACAAGTAGTGGTAGAGCCTTGCTTTGGTCTCCCTCTCTTCTTCCTGGGAGGGCCTAGGTCTACGTCTTCTTCTTCTTCTTCTCCTTCTTCTTCTTCTTCCTCCCCCTCCTCCTCCTCACCCAGCTCGGATTTGTCACCTTCTGCCGCCTCACTAGTTTCCAGTTTGCCCTCTTTCGAAGCAGCTTTCCTGTCATCTCCTGCCATCTGATCGACCGGGTCAGCTGCCTCGGCGCCGTCCCTGCTCACGGTCTCGACACACGCGTCGAACGAGGAGGGTTCCGCCGCCTTCTTCCCGTTCTGCTGCTGCGAGTGGCCGTCCGAGGACAGGTGGGCGTCCATCCACTGCGATGTGGCCGCGAAGAAGTTGCAGACTTTGCAGCGGAACCACTGGGTGGCCGGGTGTTTCACGCGGGCGTGCCTCTCCAGCACGGCGGCCGTGCTGACCCGGAAGTCGCAGCTGGGGCACTTCAGCTGGAACCGGCTGAGGGCGCGTTTGGTCGCCAGGCGCGCTGGCGCCGCCGCCCCCGGGTCGCCGTGGTCCTCTGACTCCTCTTGCGCTTCCACATTCTCATCGGCATCAACTGAAAGATATTTGAAGTCAGACTTTGATTAACATTTCTATGAGAAGTGGAGGGAGTCAAACACATTTTCAAGCAAATCCCCAAATAACAGAACAATACTAGCTTTAAAACACATGCATATGTTAGAGAAGACGTCAATGCATTTTGAAAAATAATTATTCAGTCAAACGTTGGATAATGAGCGGGAGAAAAGAAAATACTCACATGAGAATGGAACATCTTTGGCATGGTATCTTTTGACGTGAACATCAAGAGGAGACTTGTCCCTAAACTCTTGGCCACAGTAATTGCAGGAATAAATAATCTTAGGTTTTGGGATTCGTTTGCTCACTCTTCTCTCCTGGGTGAGGATCAACTCATCCTGATCTTCCTGCAGCTTCTCTGCTACCTTTTGCTTCTTAGTTAAACTCTTTGAGCCATCGTCACTGGCCGCTGACTTCATCTCATCCAGATCAGACGTCTGGTTTTGCCTCTTTCCAGCTTCCCTCTCCGTCTTTGTGACCGCCGTCTCCTGCTGGATTTCGGCTGCAGCGACATCAGAGACATTTTGACTAGGCTCCGGAGATTTGGGGGTTTTATCCGAGTTCTTTCCGTGCTTTCGCGCATGGTGAATCTTCAGCGATCTCGCGTGCTTGGCTGTAAAGCCGCAGACAGCACACAGGTTATCTCCTGCGGCAGACTCTGGCAGAGGCCCCTCTGCGGCCTCAGTGCCACCTGCCGAGTTTCCTCCGGTTTCCCCCGTCTCCACGTCCTCTGGCTGCACCCCCACACTGCTGTCGTTTTCAGGCACTTTTTTCCCAACAACCTCCTCTCCTAATTCCTGTGTTTTATCCATGGCATATCCAGCTATGATTCTGCACACCACTGAAGTTAGTTGACACCATCAGAACTGGATCACAATTCCTGGGGGGGGGGGGTAAATTATGACAAGAACTTAAGTTTGACATATTTAATTATCTAAAACACAGTTGAGTTTGTATCACATCCTGTTTTAACCTAAACCATATGAAAACCACTTACTGAGCAACAATCTTCTCATAGACGAGCAAATGTCGCCCCCTAGTGCTGCTAAGGGTAAACTGAAGCTTAAAGCATGGCATCACAAAAACTACCCTCTTCTCATCAAAACAGCATAAACTAACCCAGATAAGTCATTTTCATTACACAAAAAAGTGCTTATAAGAAGATTTTCTGTATCTATAAATGACTTTATTAAGTTATCTCTACAGATGATGTTTCTTTATTTTTAAGTTGTACGGTGGGATTAGTGAGTTTCAAAAGTATAACTAACTTACAACTACATGTACCATTAAATAAAAGGATTTAGCTTTTAATTAATGATAGTCTACTCTTACTTATTAACCATTAGGAACCCAGAGTTACACCGATGTAACAATTTAAAGTGAAATCAATTAAGTAGAAAATGCCAAAGTAACGTGTAGAACAATCCAGATATTGGATTTGTGGTGATGCTTTGCTTTTCCGTTTTCTACTGTGGTCAGTGGGACCTGTTTGGTCAGTTTTCTGCTGAAAATCTTCAGCTTGAAAACAAATTATCTTGGTTCTTATGGGTTTATTGTCTATTTGCTTCAGAGTAATTTGAACGGAAATGGCAGACAACACGTCTGCTAACTTTAAAAATGCCCTACTGCACGTTTTTCCATAAAAGATTAACGGTGACAGCTTGTTCAAAATATTGCATTACACGGTCTAAATGGCACGCAACTAAAATTTGGACGGAAATCGCTTTAATTACACGTAAAACTGAATGTTCCGACAAATAGCCAAATGAAATGTGAGCTGTCCAGGTGCAGAGCAGGGGTCGCAGGGTCCTGAACAAGTGAGGAAACGGTGTGTTGTAAACGACCGACAACTTAAGAACATGTTTGCAACTCGGTCACAGATTTTCACATTTTGTGACTGACTCTATTCAGATATTTTAGCGTCGTAGCTATGCATTCTTGATTGCTAGCTTAAAAGTAACGTTAAAGTTGGACAAAGAGGTTCAAACAGCATGCTGTAAACTACACTGTTAATTAAAACTACCCCACGTCGTAACGTATAATATCGTACTTCAACACATGCATTGTGCACATTATGTTTTACAACTCGACACGGGTCGGCTCGCGACGCTGTGCAGCCGTTGCAGAGTGCAGCTGCTAACCTGCTAACTAGCAACATGTTCCACTGTATTGTTTTGACATACACATAGTCCGTCCAGTCAAACTGCTCCATTAGCCGCGAAAGCCAATCAAAAAGAAGCTGAGGCGGATCTAGAACGCTCCAAGCCTTGGAAAACGACGGCAGCACAGTGGCCCAAAAAGGAGGCTAACGTCGACCTCTGAAACGCTGATCTTTACTGCCCGAATCGTTTTCGATAACACGACACAGAGTTTACCCCAGTTTAGTTAAACACAACTGGAAGACAAACATGTTAATAAAAGCAAAAATGTATGTGACTTACCAATTATTCTAAGAGTGTTTCCCGGCTGCGCGCTTTTTTTATGCTAGACACAAATGGCGTACCGTAGCGTGAACCTTGCGTCACAGAAAACTAGGCGCTTCTTTTTTTTACATCAGCTGATTAGACCACATGGTGCGTTATGGTTGCGTGGGAAAAAAGGAAATTCCAAAGCCTTTATTTTGTCTGAACTAAAATGAAAATGTAGGCCCCTGCTAGCAAATAATTAACAAGATGTGTTCGAATACGTTATAATGTTTTTTGAGTGAAGCTTAAATTAATGATGAAAAAAGCAGACCTCACATTACAAATTATTGACAGTTTATCATGTGGCCTTTTTTAAGAAAGTGTGTTATTCATTTTTTCTTTCCATAAATGGACAATTTATGATGAATCACCTCTTCCATATGACATTCAGTGTTAGCTTTATGGAAATACTTAAGATGGATTAATTCATGGAGATTAATTGATTAAATAGTCCGACAGGTCAGGAGGTGATAAATGATTCCTCCTGGAATGAGTACACAATTTTCTTTTGCAGTAATTTCCTTTAATTCATCACAGTCAAAATTATATGACATAGATGATTTGAAACACAGCCTCCCTTTCCCCTCTTTCCCCATTTTTCATTTGGATTCAGCATAATTTTTTCTCTATTAGTTTTCTGTTTAAAGAAGAGAGGCCTGCTTTTGTTGTTATTGTTTCATTACATTCTCTGTCTACTATGTTGCCACTTAACAAATTCAAATCTTGCCTTTGTATGAGTAGCGCTATTTTTCATGATCTTAAGAAGGACTATTTAAGGCTGAATTGCAGGCAAACAGGGTTTCTTCGTCTCGCCCAAAGACACCTCGTCATGTCACAGACCACCACTCTTAACCCTTAGCCACACCCCCCTCCAACAGAGAAGAAGGAAAAAGTTTAAAACCAATACTCATCAGTGAAATTATTCAGAATACCGGTACTACCCCCTCAAAAATGCATGAGATGATCAAATATTTCAAATCACCTGAAGAAATAATGAATAGGGTAGTGCATAAGCTTAACTTCAATCTCTCTGACAGAGCTGCCTGGACATTTTTATTTCATAAATAGCTGTGAAAAATCACATAGGAAAGGAAAGCCTTGATCAGAATCAACTTCTCTGGACCATAAAGTGGAAATTACTGTTCAGATCAGACTGCCATTATTAGTATTCTATGTTTCTCTTGATCAAATGTTTCTTCCAGATCCAATATGAAAAGTATCATTCAAAATTGTATCATGAAGAACTCCAAAATGAAGACCCTGCAGCTGCAAGAGACGATATCAGTTCCAAACACTTGGGACACTCATTTTATACTTTGAATGTTTTCACTGTCTTGTCAAAGAGTTGTCAAAAGGAATAGTAGAAGACAGTGTGCCAAGTTTGTTGATGTGTAGAAATTAGATGCAAACATAATTATATAGTAGCTAATGTAAGGAAATTGAATAAACAAAAACATTAAACTATCTTGAGTGCATACTTTCTGTAGTGAAAGAGAAGTCTTGGTAAATGTTATGATCACTGCAACAATATTTCTCTGTCTTATCCAGGAGGATAAAAAGATGCCATGATGACACTCCCAAAGTGCAGGCATACATATGATACGTGCACAGCTGACATTTAAGAGGTCCATGGATGGTTCACCTACACAGGTGTTTTCCATTTGTTGCCATGTCATCTTTAATAGGCATTTTTAAGTAGCAGATGGCATGACTAAGTATTGGAGCAAAAACACAGGTGTTCCTAATAACATTGATAGTTTAGTTCCATTTCAGGGTCCAAGGAAGTCAAGACATTTTCAAAATGAGCCAACATTAAAATTGCAAAATAGAACAGAACTATCACAATCATATTCTGTGACTTATCAAAATGCTTCCTTAAAAGGTTGTCTTGTTATTTCTGACCTCTGGGTAGAATAAAGTTACAATTTCATTATACTTAGGGACGACGGTGAGTTGTGCCGGATAACTTTTACCCAAGAATCTAAAAGCAACCAGGATAACTAAAAGCACATGCATATGTCTGAGAGGGTTTTAAAAGCCAGGTGAAATATTATGCTCTGTTATTTGCTTGTCAGATTACTAAACTTTCATGTTTAATCACTTTAAAACTTGCTAGCTCTACTTTTTAGTTTAAGTATTGTAGTTGCTTCAAGATCAGACAGTTCTAGGGCATTGCTGAGGGTTCGGAAAAAGGGATCTATGTACAGGAAAAGGGGGTTTTGGGACAGAATTACACCTACAAGATACATAGCAAGGGCTGTACACAACATTCTTTGCCATACATTACTTAAATAGTAGCCAATACCCACAGTAGCCATTTCTCTATCGTGCAGCCTTGCACAAAAAAATGCACTGACTGGTAAACAAATATTTGCCAAGAAACCTCTTGACATCCATGTTGGAGAATGATTTTGAGAATGATCTAGGATTATTGGCTCAAATGGTTTTTATACATAAAAAAGCAAGCTTGGTTTCTTTGCCAAGCAGAGAAACCTATATCAGGAATGCTCCCCAGCAGACCTGAAATGTTTCTGGTGTTTGAAAGATTTGATGGTAATGGACCTTCCAGGATAGGTTGTGGTCCATTACTTTCCAAACTTGTTTCCTTTTTTTAATAGATAAGGTCAAGAATTATCTCAGACTTTCATTTAATTCCATGTATTGTTTTGTTTATTTGTAATTTCAAGCAACTGCCACATTGAGCCATTTGGACCTGTCGCCGTATAGTTACAAAATGGAGCTTTCCTTTTATCCTTTTAAATCCAGATAGAAAAAAGCAATAGTTCGGACAGTACTTTTCAGGCTATCTTAAAGTCCAATCCTAACATATTTACAGAATTCCCTTTTAATGTAATCAATAAATGAAAAAATCCAAATAATATCAAAACCCCTGGGATAACATTTTAAATGAAATGAGTAAAAGGAAATCTTGTCTTGCCTTAAATTTTATGGTCGAGCTTCTAAGACATGATTACGACTATTCAGGGTGGTTATTTATGATGTGCTTATGGAAAAGAGTTTGCGGTCTGTTTTCTATAAATGTTGTTTGAGCAACAAAGGTCCTTGCATCCTCCCACTTTAGCGCTTTTAAGACTGAATACAGTACATGCCTCATTGTACTCAGTTTCTGTGTGAATACTTGACAGACTCTGCGCTACCGTACCTGAATATTCCTGACAAGTTCATTGAGGATGAAAATCATGCAACACATCAGAGACTGAACAGATGAGTTTATCAGGTGCTCAACCCACCAGAGGGAGCAATTTGCACATTAAATAACATATTGGCCATCTGCGACCACAGCTGCACACTGTGTGTATATATGGTACCATGGCAACCATCCAGAC